GTAGCAGAGACCTGTGCCCCCAACTATTTTTGGATGATAAACATTTGTATCAAGTCAACAAAACATGGGCAGAGTAACAATATTTTTAATACACATTTATCCATTTTAAATATACGTACTAACCTCACTCCTTTGTAACAACTAGGGCAAAAATGTAATTAATTCAGAAAATCTTTTCAGGACCCCTCCTTGATGTTTCAGGACCCCACTTTGGGTCCCGACCCCAACTTTGGGAAACACTGGTCTAAACGGTCATACAGCATTTCTCAGACATTTATATCTGTGAGGTGTTGGTATACAGATCAACCCAAGTAATAATGATACTAACCTTGAGTCATACATCCTGTAGCACCACGTCTTTATCTAAAGAACATTCATCTATTTGCTGGATGACTGAGAATCCACAGAAACACCTGATAGCAACGTGTCGGACCGTGTCGATAATAAAGTGGATCGATATTTTTGTTAGCTTTATTTGGTGTACGTCACTTCGCTCTCGTTCCATAAAATACATGTTTCACCAGAGCAGTCGACCACAGGGAGGTTAAAATGTAAACATGAACTAAACAAGCAAGTCAGATGTTTATTTTACTGGTTCTGATTGAACAACAACTTTAGAATGGACAAGCTAACAAGTAGCATCCACCGTAGCGACCGGTTGTTTACTCCTGTAAACAGCGAGCGGAATGTGACGTCACGTCATCTTCTGTGCATGTGCGTCACATCTGTAATCTGGAAGTTACATTTAAAATGTGAACATCCATGCACAAAAAGACAAATGGTATTGGTTCCGTGTACCGGGGCATTTTGAATGAGTACTTGTAAAATGCTGGTATCACAGGCCGATACCGGTATCAATAATAATGCGTCCCTACTTAATATGATGTACGTAACTTCTTAGGTTTGTGGACAAGTTTGAATGAGTTCCACTTTATTTTAATATAGTATGAATGACATACTTCAGTCACTTGTGGTAGGCATCCGCTCACTTCATGCCTTCGCTCCGGAAGAAGTCGGAATTATGTTGCGTTCAGGAACACAGTAAAATATCTGTTTCCTGATACACACCTGCAGCATTCACTGTCAACTCATAAATAGGCTACTATTAAAGATAAACCTTTTAGATCAGCAGTCCCCAGCCCCAGGCCATGGCCCGGTACCAGTCCATGGGTCGTTTGGTAACGGGCCATACAGAAAGAATAAATAACTTACATTATTTCCATTAATTATTTGAGTCGGAGCAAGTCTGGCTGAGTCTGGCTCAGTGTGGCGGCATGGTGGCTCAGTTGGTAGAGCCGATGCCTCTCAGCAAGAAAGTTGCTGGTTCAAATCTCGGTCCGAGGACCTTTCTGGGTAGAGTTTGTATGTTCTCTCTTTGTATGCGTGGGTTCTCTCCGGGCACTCTGGCTTCCTCCCACACACCAAAAACATGACTGTTAGGTTAATAACCTATATGCCACGGTCATTAATGACGTATTTCCGGTAAAATTCTTGACACGCTCCTCCCTTTCACTCCCTGCTTACTGCCTATGTTTTTAGTGTGAGCTGCTAGTACTAGTCCATGAAAAAGTCACAAAAGTTAAAGCATCTGTGATCTACTGGTATAAAACGTGACTTATGTTGTGTGCCGTTGTGTCCACTAAGCAGCAGATACGATCGAGTAGTTAGTTTTTCTCCATTTTCCTTTAGATGAGGAGGTGACAGCGGTGGATCATAGCATTACAGGGAAAACTTATCTTTAAAAGCTCATGCTTGTGTTTGTAATCGGCATTTCTAACCTGAGGATATTCAAGAGCCAGCATCAGAAATGAGAAGACGGAGGTTACAAAAGGGAAATGTACATTTATCCCCTTTTACTGCCAAGACCAGGAGATGAAAGACCTCCTTCACAAGACAGCTAGCAGGAAGCTAACACAGCAGCCGGTAAATGTAGGTGTGTGTGTGTGGGTGTGTGGGTGTGTGTGTGTGTGTGTGTGTGTGTGTGTGTGTGT